GTGTAGTGAAATAGAGACTGTCGTTCCCATCACTACAAAAAACACACTGCTCCTTACTGAATAGTTAGACCCCGATTTATAGGTGGCCTAACAGAGCATGATGTTGAACATATCTTGCTTGTATCATCCTAGATGGAAAACTTCAGTATCTCTCCTCCTCTCTTCCTCCCTTATTGTGATCCGCTGTGTACTCGGTCAAAAAGGATAATTATCCAGATAGTGTGATAATGTACAAATGATTTATTAAAATGAATAAAACACTTACAAACTTCAAAGACAAATGATCATGTAAGTCATTAATGCCACTGGTGCCGGCTCCAGACAAGCGTGGGTCCACCCAGCCCTGACATACATTTCGTCTCAGTGGACGTTGTCAAGGGGATCAGGCACCTGTATTGGTATTTTTTGAGTACAGCTATTGTTTCACTGTTTGTTTTATGGTTCATAATTTGTTTGGATTTTTTTGTCACTCAACACAGTTAGATAATTTTCACATTGTAGAATACAATAGCTGACAACATAGTGCATCTGTTGCACTAAAATCCCAGGCAGTATTATCATCCTTGCCTAGCTGTCCATGGTGAACTAAAGAAATCCCTATTACGTTATGGAGATGAGGATAGGGAAAGTTTTTTTTTTTTTTTTGTTTTTTTTTTGTAGTACTAACATTTTTTGTGTCAAGGTAAGCACTCTGCTTCTCTGAAGATACAGTAGAGTGAGTAGGCATTGTGGCCCCGGGACTGTGTTTCTGAGAGAATCGCCAAATGAAAAGGAAAGAAAAAAAGACTTAAAAAAAAAACAAAAAACAAAAAAAAAAAAAAACAAATGCAGCCACCACATTTAATGCCTTACACATACCGCTGCTCCTAAACAAACCCATGTTTGTGAAGCTTTTGGCGTTTTTTTTTACAATGCCCCTGAACTCATGCTTCATGCACACATAGGCTTTTACCAGAGTTTAGGAGCAGCAGAGTTGAGTAGGGGCGCTCAACATTTTGAAGAATGAGGACTACTTAAAGTGTTACTAAACCCACAACAGTAAAATCAGTCTGTATATACAGTAAAGCATGCCCCAGGTGGTAAACCCCTGAAACCTAAGGGGTTAATCCTCTGCATTGTGTACAAAGGATGTTTGATCCTGTCTTCTTTGATCCTCCCCTTCTATCAGTGTCCCCCTCTTATCTACTGATAAGACATATGCAGGGAGGTTAGCAGGCCAAAGACTGAGTGGATAGAGAATGCAGCAGCTACTCCTCTATTAAAACTCATGTAGAGGGGAATGAGGCCTGTAAATGGGTACAGATCCTATGGATTTCTCAATGCCAGTTTGCAGATGACAGGAAAAAGAGGACTCATTTATTCAAGGTAAAACCTGACCTTTTATATACATTTAAAAAAATCTGCTCAGAGTTCAGCTTTAAACATACGACAGAAAAAGGCATATTTTTATAGCTGTGTTTTTTTTTCATGGACTGTACAGAAAGTCTTAGTCCTCTTGGTTTTTTATGGATGGTTGGCAGCCATGATTGAAAACCTTCTTATCTTGTGCAGAGTGGAGGCAGCAGATCTGTCAAAGAAAAAGCTGTGTAAGGTCCATTTTTCAAGGCCTATCTCACTCACCCTGAGATCAGAGAGGACAAAAGATCAGAGAGGATGGAAGATCCAACTACGCTCTGAAAAATCAAAGTTACACTTACGGTAACGCCTTTTCCAGTAGTCTTTCAGGACAGCACCTTGAGAGACCTCGGCTCCTCCCCACCTGAGGAAACACCTCCACCCTAAATAAAAACACTGTCACTCCCCTCCGACCTCAGTTCTTGGCATAGTTCCTCCGGTCACCTGGGGAGACATAACATGAGACACAAAAATACAATAAGACATCTCTCATAAATATTATACAACAGAGGGTGGGTAACCGGTGCTGTCCTGAAAGACTACTGGAAAAGGCGTTACCGTAAGTGTAACTTTGATTTTCCCCTCTCGTCTTTCAGGACAGCACCTTGAGAGGATAAGGGAGTACTCACCCTAGGGTGGGCCCACTGCTTGCAGCACCTTATGTCCGAAGGCCTGCTCTTGCACCGAGACCAGGTTAAGTCTGTAATGCCTAACGAAGTTCCCGTAACTGAACCAAGTCGCAGCCCTACTGGTCTGTCCCGGGCAGGCCCCTGCCTGTTCCGCATGTGGCCGCCCCGCCATGGCACGCGTAGAATGCGCCCTGTTTCCCTCTGGGACCTCTAGACCCTCGGCCCGATATGCCTGCTCTATTGCTAGTTTCAACCATCTAGCCACCGTGCGCCTGGAGGCTTTTTGACCTTTTCTAGCCCCCACAAAAGAAATTAAAAATTAATCGGTTCTCCGAAATTCCTTTGTCCTATCCAGGTGAAGGAGCACACACCTTCTTAAATCCACCGTGTGAAATTTTATTTCTCTTTCACCTGAAGGATTAGGGCAAAATGAAGGTAAAACAATATCCTGTCCCCTATGAAAATCTAAGGCCACTTTGGGAACAAAGGCTGGGTCCGTCCTGAACACCACCCTATCTGAAAAAATCTGCAAATAAGGCGCTCTGATAGACAAAGCTTCCAGCTCACTCACCTTTTTCGCCTTGGTGATTGCTACCAAGAATACGGGTTTAAACGTGAGGGTCCTAAGGGAACTGGAAACTAAGGGCTCAAACGGTGGCTCCATTAACACTTTAAGTACCTTCGACAAATCCCATTTTGGAAAAGGTTTATTTCCTGTCAGTCCCTGTTTTGACAGAGCCTTAAAAAACCTAATGACCAATGCCGCCTTTGCTAAAGCGGACTCCAGAAACACACTTAGAGCCGATATCTGGCTTCTGAGCCTGCTGACCGCTAGCCCTTTATCAGTCCCCACCTGCAAAAATTCTAGCACCGACACCAGGCTATGTGTTAGGAATGGACTGGCCAGCAATGGTGGGACTCACCTGCCTTTTGATCTGCAGTACCAGGGCTGGCCAGCGGGTGCTCCCAGCAATCAGAGACTCAACCTTTCAGCCAGCTAACACCTGGAACTGATGATACTGGTGTATTTAAGGGATGGCCAGACTTGCAGACTCTGCCTTGGTGTTGTGTTTGTCCTGGGCCCTGTATCTGTCCTGCATCCTGTTTCTGTTCCTTTGCTGACTTCTCCTGCTCTGATCCTGGCTTGTGACCCTGACCATCCCTCTGTCTGACCCTCTGTACTACGCTGCTTGCTACCTGTTCTGATCCCTGGCTTGTGACCCGGACCATCCCTCTGCCTGACCCTCTGTACTATGCTGCTTGCTACCTGCTGAACCTGGCCTGACCCCGACCATTCTCCGCTTGCTCCCCCTGTACCTACCTGCCCAATTGATATTGACCCGGCCTGCCTGACGACGCTTGCTTGTATATACTGTTATCTGTGGGTGGTTTGGTTTGGTTTGTTTGCACTGTATTATGTTTTAGTATTGCACTGCGTTTATGTTTGTACTGTTAGTGTTAATAAATTATATTGTTTATAACATATCTGAGGTCTGCGTTTCCCTGCTTCAGTCACACACCTCTGGTCATACCTGGGAGCCCTGACATTACACCAAGGCCATACCTGACCAGAAGTGGCTGCACAGGGAAGCCATCTTGGCTTGTTGATGGGAAGGATGGATCTTGATGAGGTTGAGTATTTATATCTGCTAGTGTTTGATGACAGGGAGTATGCTTATCAAACTCTGAAGGAGTATCCCCGGGATGAATTGCTAGAATGTATACGGCTCGCTCATGTTCTAGTAGATCAGGGCACAGTGTTCTCCGAGGTGCAGCCATTGATTGAGGTTTGTGCAGAGTTGGTTTCATCTGGTTCCCCCGAATGCAGGGATGAATTTTTGCCACCATTTAGTGCAGACCAGGTAGAGTCCCTGGTGTGGTTATTAGAGGATGATGTGGGTTACTTTCTGGAGCGTTATTCCACATGTTCACCACAGACACTGAGAGATTGTATAAACGCAGTGCAGTCATTGACCAGACAGACTTTGTGTAAGCTCAGCTTTGTTCAACCCCTACTGCAGACATGGACAGATTTGTTGCACCCAGCCTCAGTCAGCTTACAAAGACCCAGTCCTGCTTCTAACTCTACTCCTGTATTCCCACCAGCTCCTCCAGTTACAGCCCAGTATACTTGGCTATCTACCGCATGTCAGTACCCTGTTCCCACTCGCTGCACCTATCCTGCCTTTAACCCTGTAAAAAAGCCCTCTGTAGCAACTGCTCCCTCTCCTGTTCCATCCTCCAGTTCTTCTCTGTCTCCAGCTGCTCCATTCGTTTGCAGACCTGCGTTTACTTGCAGTGCTCCAGTAGTTAAAACCAGAAAAAAGCGAAAATTCTTTCCAACCAATACCATCCTGCCAGTATCCAAACCGGTGAGCCTGCCTTCCGTGGTTCAGACTGATGCCTGTACGCAGCCTGATGCCTCTACTCGGCCTGAAGCCTCTCTACTCGGCCTGAAGCCTCTACTCGGCCTGATGCCTCTACTCGGCCTGAAGCCTCTACGCGGCCTGATGCCTCTACGCGGCCTGAAGCCTCTCCTCAGCCTGAAGCCTCTACGCGGGCCTGAAGCCTCTACTCGGCCTGAAGCCTCTACTCGGCCTGAAGCCTCTACTCGGCCTGAAGCCTGTACTCGGCCTGATGCCTGTACTCGGCCTGATGCCTGTACTCGGCCTGATGCCTGTACTCGGCCTGATGCCTGTACTCGGCCTGATGCCTCTCTTCAGCCTGAAGCCTCTATGATGCCCTCTACTCGGCCTGATGCCTCTACTCGGCCTGATGCCTCTACTCGGCCTGATGCCTCTACTCGGCTTGATGCCTCTACTCGGCCTAATGCCTCTACCCAGCATGATGAACTGATCCAGCCTGGCGGTCCTATTGGGCCAGTTGACTCGATGCCCGCTGTTGATCCAGGTGATCCGGTGCCTGATCCGGTGCCCGCTGTCGTGCCAATTGACTCAGAGCCCGCTGTCGTACCTGGTGACTCGGTGCCCACTGCCTTGCCGGATGACGCGGTGCCCGCTGGCAAGCCAAATGACCTGATGCCTGGTGACCTAGTGTCCGCTGTCATACCTGATGACCCGATGCCCGCTGTCGAGCCAGACAATCCGGTACCTGATGACCCGGTGCCCACTGTCGTGCCTGTTGACTCGGAGACCACTGCCTTGCCAGATGACGCGGTGCCCGCTGTCGAGCCAAATGACCTGATGCCTGGTGACCCGATGCCGCTGTCCAGCCAGACGATTCAATGTCTGCCCCGGTGCCCGCGGTCATGCCAGTTGACTCGGAGCCCACTGCCTTGCCAGATGACGCGGTGCTCGCTGTCGAGCCAAATGACTTGATGCCTGGTGACCCGATGCCCGCTGTCCAGTCAGACGATCCAATGTCTGACCCAGTGCCCGCGGTCATACCAGTTGACTCGGAGCCCACTGCCTTGCCAGATGACGCGGTGCCCCGCGGTCGAGCCAAATGACCTGATGCCTGGTGACCCGATGCCCGCTGTCCAGCCAGACGATTCAATGTCTGCCCCCGGTGCCCGCGGGTCATGCCAGTTGACTCGGAGCCCACTGCCTTGCCAGATGACGCGGTGCTCGCTGTCGAGCCAAATGACTTGATGCCTGGTGACCCGATGCCCGCTGTCCAGTCAGACGATCCAATGTCTGACCCAGTGCCCGCGGTCATACCAGTTGACTCGGAGCCCACTGCCTATGCAGAGATGACGCGGTGCTCGGCGGTCGAGCCAAATGACCTGATGCCTGGTGACCTGATGCCCGCTGTCCGGTCAGACGATCCAATGTCTGACCCAGTGCCCGCGGTCATACCAGTTGACTCGGAGCCCACTGCCTTGCCAGATGACGCGGTGCCCGCTGTCGAGCCAAAATGACCTGATGCCTGGTGACCCGATGCCCGCTGTCCAGCCAGACCATCCAATGTCTGACCCAGTGCCTGCGGTCATACCAGTTGACTCGGAGCCCACTGTCGTGCCTGGTGTCTCGGTGCCCGCCGCTCCGCCTGGGGGCCCGAGACCTGTTGCTCCGCTTGGGGGTCCAGCGCCCGCCCGCTCCGCCTGGGGATCCGGCGCCCGCCGCCCCGCCTGGGGGCCTGAGACCTGTCGCTCCTCCTGGGGGTCCGGCGCCCGCCGCTCCGCCTGAGGGCCCGAGACTGTCGCTCCACCTGGGGGTCCCGGCGCCCGCCGCTCCGCCTGAGGGCCCGAGACCTGTCGCTCCATCTGGGGGTCCGGCGCCCGCCGCTCCTCCGCCCTGAGGGCCCGAGACCTGTCGCTCCTCCTGGGGGTCCGGCGCCCGCCGCTCCGCCTGAGGGCCCGAGACCCTGTCGCCCCTCTATGCGGCCTGGGGTCCGGCGCCCGCCGCTCCGCCTGAGGGCCCGAGACCTGTCGCTCCACCTGGGGGTCCGGCGCCCGCCGCTCCGCCTGAGGGGCCCGAGACCTGTCGCTCCTCCTGGGGGTCCGGCGCCCGCCGCTCTGCCTGAGGGCCCGAGACCTGTTGCTCCGCCTGGGGGTCCGGCGCCCGCCGCTCCGCCTGAGGGCCCGAGACCTGTCGCTCCACCTGGGGTCCGGCGCCCGCCGCCGCTCCGCCTGAGGGCCCGAGACCTGTCGCTCCATCTGGAGGTCCGGCGCCCGCCGCTCCGCCTGAGGGCCCGAGACCTGTCGTCCGCTCCGCCTGGGGGTCCGGCGCCCGCCGCTCCGCCTGGGGGCACGATGCCTGTCGCCCCCGCCTGGGGGCACGATGCCTGTCGCCCCGCCTGGGGGCACGATGCCTGTCGCCCCGCCTGGGGGCCCGGTGCCTGTCGCCCGCCTGGGGGCCCGGTGCCTGTCGCCCCGCCTGGGGGCCCGGTGCCTGTCGCCCCTCCTGGGGGCCCGGTGCCTGTCGGCCCCTCCTGGGGGCCCGGTGCCTGTCGCCCCGCCCGGGGGCCCGGTGCCTGTCGCCCCGCCCGGGGGCCCGGTGCCTGTCGCCCCGCCCGGGGGCCCGGTGCCTGCCTGCGCTCCGCCGGGGGCCCGGTGCCTGCCCGCCCCGCCCGGGGGCCCGGTGCCTGCCGATCCGCCCGGGGGCCCGGTGCCTGCCGCTCCGCCTGGTGGCCCGCTGCCTGCTGCTTCGCCTGGTAATCCGATGTGCCTCTGCCCGGAGTCCTGCCCGATGTGCCTCTGCCCGGGAGTCCTGCCCGATGTGCCTCTGCCCGGAGTCCTGCCCGATGTGCCTCTGCCCGGAGTCCATGCCCGATGTGCCTCTGCCCGGAGTCCTGCCCGATGTGCCTCTGCCCGGTGTGCCTCTGCCCGGAGTCCTGCCCGATGTGCCTCTGCCCGGGAGTCCTGCCCGATGTGCCTCTGCCCGATGTGCCTCTGCCCGGAGTCCTGCCCGGTGTGCCTCTGCCCGGTGTGCCTCTGCTCGATGTGCCTCTGCCCGGAGTCCAGCCCGGTGTGCCGCTGCCCGGATGGTCCTGCCCGGTGTGCCAGTCTTTGATATCCCGCCAGTTGCCAGACCCGGGCGGGGTGGAACATTTTGCCCAGCTAGGACTGTTTGGAGCGTCCTGAGGCCGCTCCTTGAGGGGGGTACTGTTAGGAATGGACTGGCCAGCAATGGTGGGACTCACCTCTGCCTTTTGATCTGCAGTACCAGGGCTGGCCAGCGGGTGCTCCCAGCAATCAGAGACTCAACCTTTCAGCCAGCTAACACCTGGAACTGATGATACTGGTGTATTTAAGGGATGGCCAGACTTGCAGACTCTGCCTTGGTGTTGTGTTTGTCCTGGGCCCTGTATCTGTCCTGCATCCTGTTTCTGTTCCTTTGCTGACTTCTCCTGCTCTGATCCTGGCTTGTGACCCTGACAATCCCTCTGTCTGACCCTCTGTACTACGCTGCTTGCTACCTGTTCTGATCCCTGGCTTGTGACCCGGACCATCCCTCTGCCTGACCCTCTGTACTATGCTGCTTGCTACCTGCTGAACCTGGCCTGTGACCCCGACCATTCTCCGCTTGCTCCCCCTGTACCTACCTGCCCAATTGATATTGACCCGGCCTGCCTGACGACGCTTGCTTGTATATACTGTTATCTGTGGGTGGTTTGGTTTGGTTTGTTTGCACTGTATTATGTTTTAGTATTGCACTGCGTTTATGTTTGTACTGTTAGTGTTAATAAATTATATTGTTTATAACATATCTGAGGTCTGCGTTTCCCTGCTTCAGTCACACACCTCTGGTCATACCTGGGAGCCCTGACACTATGGGTATCTGCTGAGGCCCTGGAGCACCACTCATTAAAACACCTCCAGACCTTCCTATAGATGGCTTGGGTTTCCTTCTTCCTACTAGCTAGGAGTGGACTCCTGGCTGAGAATCCCTTCCAGTTGTTCCTCAGAAAACTCGCGCCAATTTCCATCTCTCTACTCTGGGACATAGGACCGGGCCCTGCAATAGCAAGTCCTTCCGTAGAGGTAATACCCAAGGTGGCCGAATAGCTAAGGTCCTCAACGTTGAGAACTGCGTTCGATGGGGCCAATACGGAGCTATAAAGATCAGAGAGGTTCTCTCCATTCTGACCTCTCAACACTGCCAACAGTAAGGCGACCGGGGGAAAAGCATAACATAGGGGAAAATCCCACTTCTGCTCTAGCGCATCCACCGCCCGAGCTCCGTCCCACCGGTTTAGTGAGAAGAACCTCGGGACTTTGCTGCTCCGACCCAACGCAAATAGGTCTATGTCTGGGGACCTCCATTTCCTTACAATGGATTGGTAAAACCTCCCCATTGAGAACCCACTCCGACTCTCTCAATTGCCGTCTGCTTAGAAAATCGTCCACCTGATTTAACTCCCCTTTTAGGTGGAAAGCCGATAAGGTGGCGAGATTCACCTCTGCCCAAGACAGAAGCACCACCGTCAGACCCCAGAGGGATCTGCTTCTTGTCCCTCCTTGTTTGTTCACATATGCCACTACCGTCACATTGTTCGAAAGGACGCGAACATGATGGCCCCCCAAACAAACCCTGGAAGGAACGAAGTGCCTTCCACACAGCCCTTAGCTCCTTCCAGTTTGAGGATTCCCCTCTTTCTTTTCGAGACCACGCGCCCTCTACCACTGACTCCCCCGGGTGCGCCCCCCATCCCTGGGCGCTCTGTCGTGATCTCTCTGACCACTGGAAAATCACAGTAGCCCTTGAGTAACGTTGGCTGTCTTCCTCGACCACCAAAGGGATCTTTTTACCTTGGTGGGAATCCGCACCCAGGAATCTGACTGCTGCTGCCGGTCCCAAATGCACAAAATGAACAGTTGCAGGGGACGTAGATGCAAACCCGCCCACTGTATCACCGGAATGGTCGAGGTTAACAGCCCTAAAACCGACATAGCCTGCCTCAACGATGTTCCCTGGCTCCCAGTAGCCGCCTGATCCCCCCGTCTAACTTGGTGAGCTTCTCTGGGGTTAAAAAGGTCTTTTGACAGGCGGAGTCCAGTATATATCCCAGATAAAGTCATCCTTTGGGATGGATTAAGACTGGACTTGGCCAGGTTCAGCAGCCATCCCAAACGCTCCAGATGGTTCCTCACCACTATGTCCTGCGCAAGTTGGATCTCCGAGCTTGCGAACAAAAGAAGATCGTCTAAATAGGCTACTATTGAAATTCCCTTCAGTCGAAGGGGAACCAGCGCCTCGGACATAACTTTTGTGAAGATCCTTAGAGAGGAGGAGAACCCGAAGGGCAAGGCCCGAAACTGTAGGTGACACGTCCCTCCTGGACTCTGAACCGCTAGCCTGAGAAACTTCTGAAATGCCTCTGCGATGGGTATGTGCAGATAGGCATCCTTCAAATCGATTGAGGCTAGGAAAGCCCCCGGTGGAAGCAGGGCTCTGACTGAAAATTGAGTCCATCCGAAACTTTTTGTATCAGATGGTCTCGTTCAGGGGTTTCAAATTTAGAATCAATCTGTACGCCCCTGACGGTTTCCTAGACCACGAACACATGTGAGTAGAAGCCCTCCTCTGGTCTTCCTCCCATCGAGTCACCGCGGCTTTTTGGGGCTGCTCAGGGAGGACGGAATATCGCTCCTCCTTTGCCCCTACCTCTCTGCCCCATGTCCTCCTCTGAGCTTCTGGTCTAAGGGACCTGTCTCTTTGGGGGACGAAACTTTCTTCCCCCTTGATCCTGCATTTTCCGTTTCAGGGGAAAGGACTTCTTCCTGTCCGCCGTGCGGTCTAAAACTGTTTCTAACCCTGGTCCAAACAGGAGATCACCTGAAAAGGGAATCCATCCTGTGTATAGGGCCACGGCCGGAAGCGGAAGCCGTGACCCCCGGGAGAAGCCCCGCCCCCTCTCTTTCCGGAAATGACGTCTCCCGTCATCTGGCCTGGCGCGCTCCAATGCCGGCACATATGGGAGGAGCAGGACTCCTCCCCCGATCCTCTCCAGATCTCACACTGAGGACGCCCCAGCTCCCGCAAAACTCTCCGGAGGGGGCTGAGGGCGGCCGACAGGTTAGTGC